CCGCTGTGTTTTCTCCCATCTCAGTGTTTGCCTCTTTCTTTCTCGTGGGTCCGTTCTTCTCTGGTTGTCGACGACCGCATCAGAAAACTCCCAAGTGCCCCACAAGGCCGCCCAGTCACGTGCCCTAACCCTGAAAACAAACTAGCTAAGAAACAAAAGTCACGGCAACTAAGCCCTAGTTACAACAGGGGGTCTACTACCCAACTCTAGCGTGACATAGAATATCCTCCACAGTACGCTACATTGATGTTGCGTACAGTATGATATCATAAAAACTCTTGATTGTTCATCCCCACTGTGGAGCTCTTGTGTAAGATGTCGAGGGGGCAGTCCTGCTTGATTATTGTTAAGGAATATAGGACACTATACTCGTAATGTCGTGACGTTTGTCAAATGGACTGCTATTGCATACCACCAAAATTTCGGCCAGAGCCTCAGAACTTTGGTGGTGTGCAATAGCAGTCTGTTTTACAAACGTCACGACATTACGATTAAATACAAGACTGGAACCTGATTTCTACATCACTAAACACCCAATTTGTCGTAATGTACAGTATGTACTGGTAAGCCATCCGCAAGTCCGACACCGCTGCACTAAACTGAACTAAACTATACTTAGCCAAATCTCCATACAGTAAACGCGGAGCCTCAGGGGAGGCCCCCGAATATTCTCCATAGCCCAAGAATGTTGACAGGGTGAGCGGGAACCGCAGGACTGATCCCCTAGTCTAATATGACCTCTGCCATCCTGTGAATTATGAGCTTTCGGTGGAGCTTATTCATTGCAAAGTTGCGGGCAATAGCGAATGTTTATATACCAATGCTCCTAGCTACTTCTTTGCATGCCCGTTGATATTCCCAATATCAACTTTAACCTTATATCATTAAATCCCTTAATACTCGGGTTCCAGTAAGTCCCTTATCTCCCGAGCATCCTCAGCTTTTACTGGCTCCGTTATCTTATCTCCAGTAGATATTATATCCATTACACCCTAAAATCAATTTCCCATCACTTCCGACATGAAGTACTCTCATATTGACAAATCACCCATGTCACTGTTATAGGATACCAATCGACATCTCGGCATCCTCCACCCCATCCGCTTCCTCGCCAGTACGCCCATGACCATCATGACCGATAATACAATCTGCCCCATGGACGCCGCGATATTCATCAGGTTTGTTCCTCTTTTTACCCTCTTCTTTGAATTAAGATATTCTGTGTGACGTAATAATGCTACTGCTATCTGCCCCCCAAGCTACCTATACCTGTTGTGCAAACTTATTCTTACACCTTGGTCTATGTTCTGCTAACTGCCGCCTAGGTCTTCATGTGCAAACTCTCTATTTAAGCGGCGCTTTACGTCGGGTTGGACTTACCCCTTGACACCTCACACCGCAACGGAAAACATCTGGCGACAACAAAAACCTCACAACGATGGCTGCAACAAGTTGGAAAAAGGATTATCTGTAGGTTTCCGTTCCGCAAAGGCATAGAAATTGCTAAATCAGCTGTTTACTAACTGAGCGTCTTGTTTTGTAGATGGGGTTTATCCCTTTATTCGTTTTCGAGCCCACACACACCCCAAGTTGTTAACTTGGTGGTGAGATTCAACACCATTGGCGAGTGTACGTCATCGACATTCTCTGGTAATTTATTGGCCCTGCCACAGCAGACTAGACCTCGCTTTACCTATTCAAGTTCACTAAAATGGTATGTCCACACTATTTGAGGTGCACCTGGGCCTGAAAAATGTACACGAATGAAGGGATAGTAATGAAACTCTTGTCGCTGGTTTCTGTGCTCGACCATGGTCACTACCAATGCAGTGTCTGGATCCAATGATAACAAGGGCAATTTGGTTGAATTGAGAAACATCAAGGGTGAATTGGCTGAATTGACAAATATCGGGGGTGAATCAGGTGAATTGAAAAAAGAGAAAGTCATCCGTCAGAATGAGGTAAAAGCAACTCAAGTGGTCATTGTGGAAGGGACAGAGTCTATAATGCAAGCTCTAAAGGGAGATGTGGAACCCATGAAGCCATTGTTGCAGAAAGTGGAAGTATATTGGGTTATCTCACAAGATCAGAGAAGTGTGGTAGCAGAGTGGTGAGCCTTACGAAATGTGATGAGTAATCTCTTGGTAAGCTATCTGGTTAACTTAGTCCTTTGGTTCTGATTTACAGAGGCTATATGTACACAGGACTATTCATATACATGCTAACTGGGTTGGTGGTATGGTAGACAAGCACATTCAGAATGGGTTTGTTTTACTTGAGACAGAAATCAGAAGTGCTTGTATAGAGGCTGGTTGTATAGCTATAGTTCAGGGACATAATTGATCATTGGTAGCCCACTATAGCTTGTTACGATGTACAAAGACCACACCAAATTGTAAATAAAACCAAATGTAATCCATCTTTTAAATTCAGGTATATTTATTGCAATAGTAAGATCTATCACTGAGCAAAGAAATAGGTTTAATTGAGCAACTTTTGCTTGGGTTCTAAATTTAAAAAGAAAACAGTATTTTGGGTGTAAAATGAAGGGTCAACAATGAACTATATCACTGAACTGTATAAGGTATTTCATTTTTATTACTAAAAGAGAGGATGAGTGGAATTTAATAAACAGGTTTTTCTTTTAAAGACTAATGAATACAAGTTTATATGAATTTATAAGTGTGATGAAGGAGTAGTGTATTGTTATGAGGAAGCTCAATCAAAGAAAGAGGTGGTTGAAACTTAGCTGGTTGAAAATAATAATAAAGGTAATGAATATTATCAGGTAGGCTCAATGAGAAACAAGTCTCTGGAAATTGTATGTGCAAAAGTGTTTTAAGATAATAACTTAATATATTGATAAGATCTCTTCTCCATTACTTGATGGTTCTAATAACTTGGGAGCACCTTGATATTTATATTCCACATCTAGGTGATCATGGGCTACATCTAATAACTATACTAACTAAGTACCTACAGTGAAAATCTCTTATCTTAATAAAGTGTGGATGCTCATTGACCCTGAGGATATTCTGCCATACTTAGCTTTTAATATCTTTGAACACCTATTTACTCTGGGGGTGTCATGAACTCTGTTAGTAGGTAGTCTCTGATCTTATTAGCCATATGAACTAAATTTGAGTGAGTTACTTGTAAGGAGTAACTACCAATCATTCATCCCCTGAAACATAAAGTGATTAGTCTTAATGCTTAGGCAAAAGCTATTGCTTTGTACAATATGCATTATGAAGTTTGACAGGTAATAATAAGACTTTTGCCTAGCATTGAACCAATGGTTCAGCAGACATAAAATCGCTCACTCACTATCCCTCGAGTAGGTTCTTTAGACTCTACTTCATTCAAAGCAGTAGGCTTGGTTATATGGTCAAGGCCTATGGCACCATAGACTCACTATATCTAAGTCACAAATAGTTTCGTCAAAATGTCCTGTTACTTAACAACCATAATATTAAAATACCAAGATACAGGATAATAACCTGCCAGTGCCTTAATCAAATATCTTCATTCTACTTCCCACACATCGCCAAAGCTGTCCTCTCATATATCCTATGGACAGCAACTAGCCAGAGGGATGGCAGTAATGTATTTGTTGTCATGCTGAGGCTGTCGATATTTGATCCTAAAGTGTCGGAAAGCAATATGGCCATAGTAAGGTAATGACATAAATTCCCTACAAGGGAGCTGCAGGGGTATGATAGAATGGTTGGATAGTAGGTGAGAGGTCCAAGGTGATTCATGTATCTAACATCTATCCAAATTAGGATTTTTAATAAATTGGAGAAGGTACAGTAGTTGGTAGTTCACTGCATTGATGTTGGGAAAGATATCAACTTATCTCTCACTAAACCCAACTTAGTGAATCTTGGTTGGGGCAGAGAGTTCTTAAGGTAGCAGGAACTTTGGTACAGTTAAGGGGAATCCCTCAATTCTTGATTTTTTGTCAGGCTCAGGCATACAGCAAATAGTTTGGACATAATATCTTGGTTTAATGAGAATTGGTGAAGAATGGTCAGGTCTATTGTGACCAGCCAATAAATTATGACAATAAATTACCAGAGAATATCGACTCCCCATGCTCACCACTTACTTCTGAGTTAATACTTAGGATATGTATGGGCTCCAAAACAAATAAGAAGATACTAGTACCCTATGTAGCTGACAGCATGCAGCTTCCATCATGGTAAGATATGCTGCCTGAGGACTCCTGGCTACAGTCTTCATCATACTTACTATGATGAACAGGGATCAGTAACAAGTAATATTTTGTTATAGCACTTGGACGATTTCCCTTTTTCAATACAAGATACATCTATTTGGTTCAATTCCCTGCAAGAGAGATTTCTTTTTTTGTTTTTCTTCTGGATATTGCTGGATATCAAGTAAACCCATGTTGGCAAAGTCTTCACAGAGAGAGAAGTACTGTGGCAGAGTATTGGTGGTAACAAAATTAGTAATACAAGACATTGTTGGGCACAGAGTGAGCGAATTCTCTATTTAAAAATAACACATTCATTTCTAATAACTTACTGGAGGTCTACTCTATGAGAAACTGACAAATTAGTATATTTCGAAGCTACCCCTTGATATGACCATGCAGAAGGTCGTCCTGATCATGGTGCATCATGTACGTGGTCCTGAGTTCAATATCTCTTGACGTCACTTCGAATTGTTAATGGTGGAAGACTGTGCTCTCAAGGTACCTGCTTATAACTCATTCCTAGATCTGACATCAAAGCAATATTATAATTTCTTAAATGTTGTGAACTAGAAGCTTGAGTATATAGAGGTGCCTTTGTCAAACTTGATGGTTAAGTTCACTACCCTACATAATTTGGACTCTCTGTATCTGGCAATACCTTGTAGTGGTACTTTTGTTACTAAGATAGTGTCACAGCACCCCTGTTTCTGGGAAGTCATTGCCAACTTGGATGTACTGGATGTGCACAAATATCTAGAACAAAAACATAAAAAGAGATATCTTTGGCAGGGAATTGAACCTAGCATTATCTATATTTAAGGTTAACTGACAAGCAGATATACTAACCACTATACTATCAAAGACTGATATTAATTACTGTTATCAGGCAGGCTTTAAAGATATTGTAATTAAATGTCCACAATTCATAGTACAGATATTGAACATTTATTGATGTCCTCTGGAAGCTTTTCATCATTGGTAACATGAGTTATAGTAGTCCTCTAGCTATTAGCTTTTAACTAAGTATGATTTCTTGGCTTTCAATTCTATATTAGACTAAGACCCTGCTTGTCTGGCACCATTTATAAGGTAAAACCTTAGAAAATATCAACCATAAGGATTCTGGATATACAATTTGGAAGGTATGGAAACATACTTAAGTAAGCAGAAAATTGCCAAACAGCCAAAACAACTATTATAAAGTTATAAGAAAAAAAAGTTACATTCTAGTTTGGCCCTTAGATATTTAATACATAGTTTAATAAAATGTAGTTAACATGGTAATAAACAGGGTAAAGTACACTGCTAAGTCAACTACAGATGTTAATAATTGTAGAATAATTGACGTAGGATGGCAATAAAATTGCAAGTATGTTTATCATGACACCTCCCATCTGCTATGATCTGGTGTGAATGCTGAGAAAGTTTGAAAGGTGCAAACTTGACTATGATTTGTCATATCAGATGATGTCTTATAGTAGTTTCAAAAACTAGAACATGTTAAGCAGGATACATTAAGAAATTTATCATATTTCATGAATTGATTTATCATGAGAGCAGTTATGGTACATTTTGTAAATAATGGAGTCATATCATATTATAAAAATTGATGCAATAGGTGAATTTGTGTTAAAAAATAATTTGATATCAATTTCATATCACCTGAGGAAATATTATAATAAATTGAGCTAAGAGGTTTGCCAACTACTAAAATTTGATAAGTATTACAGTATAAAATGTTAAATTTTAATAATATGCCTGGCTGGATGGTGGGATAAAAGTTCCTAATATAGGCTATAACAATAGGGTATCACTTTGGGTAAGGAGTTATCACATTTTATTTAGTGGTAAATCATAGTCAATATAGTACTAGTAAGGAATCTGACTAGCAACTACTGGACAACACCACCTAAAGAATAAGAAGAGAAAACCAAGTAGAATAAAAACAAAGATATAGCAGAAGAAAGAAGATGATATAGTTACTATGAGACCTCCTAAAAGTCTATGTGTAGATGCTTGAGCAACTATAACTCCCAAGGACCTCAATTGCTATTATATCCATCATAATAATTGGTAGAGTCTCCAAGAAAGGGTCTTCTATCTACCTCAAAGGACTCACCAAAGTCCTCATCCTGGAAGCTTATAGACTGAGCAGCATCATGATAGTTGTCTTCTTCCATTTCAGACTGCAGAAAATCATCCCCACTCAGAGTGGCAGGTTGAACCTCAGAGGGGAAATCTTCCTTGTCCTGTACAAGCAGTTCTTCATACATTCTTTTATTAAGTTAGTAATAAGGAATATTAATGGAAACAAAAAGCAGATGGGAAGAGAGAAGATATTAATCAAAAAATAATATCAGTACTTACAGTGCTGGAGTTGCAAAGATATTATTTTCATAAATGCTAATAGGTGCTTCATGAATATGTGCCCACCACTTGGGAGCAGTTAGTTTATCTTCAACAATCTTGGATCTAATATGTGTCTAGATATTAAAGAGTACAAGCAAATTCAAGGAATAATTAGTATGAAGAACTAGAGAGTATAAGAGTGTAGAGAAATTACTTACCCAATGAGCTGCAGAAAGGGGCAAGTTATGTTGCAATCTAGGAGTTGTGACTTTAAATACTTTATCAAGGAAAAGAGTATGTGCCAACTCTGCAATAGGTAAAGGGCAAATTATTACATTCTGAAGCTTAGTCTTCAACTTGCTCTTTTCTTCTGAAAGTATAGTGGCAAGATTAGAAAGAAATCCTGATCTCTTCTGACCTATGAGTGAGACTGAAAGTCCTTTGGCTCCATGAGTACATAGGAATGCCTATTTAAGGTTTAGTCTTTGAGATGGAAGAAGGCAGATGGAAGATTAGCTTGCAAACAGTTTTTTCTTATCATAAAGACTACCATCATGCAATTCTAGCATATGAAAAACAGATTTGACAAAATCATGAACAAGCATCTGAGAGCTACTCATCCAATAATTAATTCAGGTAGAAAAAAATAGTAAAAATTTGATTATATATTTGCTACTTCCTCATGAGTCAATTGATCATCTTTTTCTTTATTTAGTACCTTTAGTTCCTGCACATCGGCTTTCAAATCTAGAAGGGTCTGAAAAATAATTGCTAACTAGGATAAGACATTCTCCAACTCTTTTTTTATTTTGTTAGCAGAACATAACATTTCACAAAAGAGAAAATATTTACAAACCTCAATAAAGTCTTTTATGGATAAGGCTGAATGCCTTCTCATTGTTTGAAGGGCTTGCCTTGAATGATGTGAGTGAAGAAGTGAGCCAGTTATTTACTTCAGTGAACCTTCAATGTTCCTTATTCTTGAGAGAAGTGGGTTTTCAATAGCTTGGCCCTCCAAAGCTGAGGATTCTCTTTCATCTTGTAGTATAGGAGTTATAGCCTGAGTCACCCTTGGTGCTGGTGAAGGTTGCCTTGCTGGAGTTCTTGGGGGTTTTCTTGGTCTAGGCTGATTTTAGGAGAGCAAATCAATAGATAAAACAAGTTAGTACTATAAGGAATAAAGTAATAGGAGAGGTAACAATTTTGAAAATGTATATAGGATTGGGGTAACTAAGAGTCATACTTGAAGAGGAATACTGGTACTATTAACATTACTACTATGGTGAGTTGTGGTTTGATGTAATGAATTTCCCCCATCTCTCCTTGAGCCTGATTTGAGGGATAGAGAGACTGAAGAAAGTATTGGAACTAAAGTTTGCAATTCAGTAAATAAATTAAATACTTAACAAGAAGTAAAGGAGTAAGCATACCTTGATTTGTTGGAAAATAGGGAGTACAATGATGAACAGGATTATTAGGAACTTGATGTTGAGGCCCTGGAGTAAGAGGATGTAAAAATGGTTCTTCTTCCTCTATCAAATCAAATGGACAGTGAAATTCAGTCATCTTTTTAATCTTTATCTGGTAGCTTCAGGACAATCACCAGGTAGAAAAAAAGAAAGGATGGACAAAACAGATTGATTAGAATAGTAACATAAAAGAAACACAAAGGGGAAAATGGTCTTCAGTTCTCCTGAGGTAGATAGAAGGAAGGGGATAGTTAATGGTTGGTGAATAGTTTGTAAAAAGTGTGGAGTTGGGGATATGAGGAGTTGGTAGGAAGTAGGATGAGAAAAAGAAATTAAAGAAGGGGGAGGGAGGGAAGGGGTTAGCTCAGCTAAGAAAGTTAAATATCAACAGGTTCTTAAGAGATGTCTATATAGGTGTGATAGTTGTAACTATAGTATATCTATGTGTCAATACACCAGCTTTATGTGTCAATATACTGGGTATATATGTCAGTATCAACAATATAGTTGTATCTATATTCTATGTACCCTAATAGCAATGTAACTCAGAGGGCATGATTTTGTTTTAAGTGTTTTGTATTACATGTAGGCTTGTATCAAACAACATCTTCTCTGGCACTATTCTATCAACAAATCTTTGAATTTACTTCCAAAAAAAACCTATAATTACTACTTCTCCATACCTTACAACTAGTATAAACTCTATTCCTGATACCAGCATCTTGAAGAGTACCACAAATGTCATCAGAGTCTCAGCTCCACTTAATATGTCCAGTTTGCTGTGATAATATTCTTCACCAATGCATTGGAAGCTTTGTTAAACACTGTATAACAGAGAAACATTTTGCTAACTATTATTAAATAGTTATGGTACAACATAAGGAAAAGCTAGAGTAATAGAATAGATGTAACAAAGTTCACAGTCTTTCAGTGAGCATTAACACCTATATCAGTTTTGACAACAATGAATTCAGAGTTCAGTCATATAAAGCTTTAAAAACAAAGTACAATACCAGGGTGCCAGAAAACATTGCAACTAGCAAGTCATTTTCCTCACTGGATATATAGAATAGGCAAATACAATCATACCAGGGCCAGAATTAGTCAAAATTAAATTTGCTACCCTCTCCTGTTGAGTACAATTCAAATAAAAAGGTTGTTATTCTTGAACCTAAACTACAACTACTAGAAGAACAGTTGGTGGAGAAAGAGCTTACGAATTCCAGCTGTCTTCCACTTGATAGAAGGGGAAAAGGTGAGAATTTTGGATACCCAGTGTGTTGGAATTGTATGGAAAAAAATTAATTTAATAGTATAACTTGTTAATATTTTAAGAAATTTAGAGGATAATTCAAATCTGCCAGAAAGGATGATGATCTATGCAGACAATTGCGACACAATAATGGATGAGTACATCTATACAGACAATGCTTCTCCACAAAACCCACTTTATGCATCAAATATATGGGATTATGCTGCAGACACTTCAGTTGATGATTCACCTAACTCAGTCAATTACAAGTCATCTAATGAAGATGATAACTTATCTGAGCTACGATAATCAGAGTCTGAAAGCTGCTGGTTTCAGTTCTCAAAAAAGTAGCTAAATACTCCTGTCATTGAAAACTCACACAATGAATGGTATCTATTTCCGTCAAAGCTATTTTTACTATTATACACCTTAGTTGTCCCACAGAATCTCTCATTCAATTTTTCTCAATTGCAACTTGTTTGGATAGTTTTAGGTCAGATTTGTGACCTCCCACAACTATCTTTATTGACAATAAAGAGATTTCGAAGTAAAGTACCATTACCAGTAGTATTACTACCAAATGTGAAAACTCAAGAGCAAGGACTATATTACCACATTAATCTTTGTGACCTTATCAGGATAGAAATGGCAAAGCCAAGATCTACCTCTGAAATACAAGAAATAGTTCAAATAATAATTACAAAGGCAAACAAATGAGAGAATCATGAAATCTACAAACATGAACCATTGTCAGATATAACTTCTTTAGCTATGAAGCAAAAATTCCATCACC